GCATTATGGAATAGCAAAATAATACTAAACTCCAAATATTGTTGTTCTCTTTTGAAAAACTGTTATGATCTATTGAACAACACACCTTACCAGAAGTAATACCAAATAGGTTTTCCTGCACCGGTATATTAGCAACAAATTTTTATCGAAACGTCAACAAATTAACATTTTTCTTTTTTTACATTTAATATCATAAAGTAAAAATAATAAAATACTTGGCCAAAAGGTAAACTATCAGTAAGAAATGCAGGAAAGTAGTCTGGTTAGTACTTTTTAATGAAATTGGTTTAATATGCTATGGATATTGTATCAGAGCGGTTTTAATTTCAGCCAAATGTGTGTATTCCTTTAGAACCCGGAATGTTGCCATATATGGTCTTTCTTGGAAGCCACAACGATATGAGATCCTCGAAGGAAAAGTTTCGATATCAATCGCAATCCCGTGTTACACTGTACGGTTATATGCTCAATCCCGGAACTTCACGCGTGAAAGCCCAACTGCCATTTTTCAAAGTAACGTGTTATATTTTTAAAAATTAATATCCATGATAGTGTAACGTCCTGGGAATGTCGACGGGCCTAAATATAGATGGTCTTGATACTTTACGTTTTGTAGCAAATAAAGAAATCTGAAAGGACATGCATTTTTTTACCTTATCACTTACTGGATGAAACAGTTGCTTTATAGTTATATCATTTCTGTAATTTTTATCTATTAATATAATATCACCTCAGTCGGTATAGTGAAGCATTTTCAAGAAATTATGTTATTATAATAATGATTATAATAATGCAATAATTGAATGATTTCAGTAACCACTTTTTTCCCACTTTATTCTATTTTAAAAGTTTTAAGTTTAGTATTTCTTCTGGAGATGAATAATTGTATTTATTCAGACTATGTATGACTATGCTATTCCGTCCTCATATTACAGAAGTAGAGACGCTATAAATTTCCTCCGGTGTTAGTGAAGTTATTCATGTCATCCTCATAAATTCTCATTTGTTCTAAACCCCTCGTTTATTCTCATCCTAACTGTCCTAACTATTCCTTCCCATTTCGTTTTAAAATTTTTTACAAAACACTCAAGGATCGACTTTGACCTATTCCCTCTCTCATAATTGCGAATCTCTAGAGCAGTACCACACTTTATCAGTAGCTTCCCTTGCATTGTCTCATATTTACCGCTACTTTTTCTATTTGTAGGTTTCTCGGTGTACAATGAGATACCTAAATTGTAGGTGAGACCGTAAAGATTTATAAATTGTTTCATAACATTGGTCTTAGAAATTCTCATATGGTGTACACCAAGAACCTATCCTAATATACGCTATTACGGACGTTCGGTACTCTAGTTCTCCGGCGGTAGTATTATCGTTATTTTTTCGATTTTATTATTTTATGCTCCCTCCGAGGCGTCTGAAAAGAAGATGGCCTCGAGATCTCCTTTTGTAAATACATTTTTAGAGTGCTACCAGTGGGTAGTTTCTCATCAAGTGATTTCATGCTATTATATTCTTTTGTTCACATTTACTGAATGTATTTTTACTTGTAATACAGTTGTAAATATCATCAATAAATAAAAAGAAAAAAAATATATTTTTACGTTGGAATGTTAATTTAGTTATGATTTAATTGTGTAAGTAAAATTATTTTTTTTTTATTAAATGCATTTTCCATTCACTGTTAAGTGCACTTATCATTAGCCAATTCTTATTTAACTTATCTGACTCAAATTAAAAAAAGTATATCTTGTTATTTTTCTAAATATTGTTTATATACCAATACCTTATCACTTATTCGTTTTAAAATTTTTACAAAAAACCCTAGGATCGACTTTGGCCAATTCCCTCTCTCGTAATTGCGAATCTCTGGAGCAGTATCAGAATTTATCAGTGTATTTCAGACTTTATCCTTGGTATATCAGACTTTATCAGTATCAGACTTTATCCTTTAAACATGAATGGCTTTGAGAAGATTTTACTGTTAATTAATAAAAATTAATTTCGCATACATTTATTTTATTTTAAACCATGGACGTTGGCTCAATATTGGAAGGCAACAATGGAAGCTTCAACAATGGTTGTAAGGTATTTTCATCATTATTTTCAGCATCATTAATATCAAAACGTGGAGACGGTTAGCAAATACGCAAACTTTCCATTCTGGTTGCGGGAGATTATCCCCTCCTCCTCATCCCCAGAAAAAATCTCGGAGTTATAATATTATAAACATTATGAGCAATAATTAAAATAAGCAACATAATTATTTTATAACGAACAATAGAGCACTATAAACTATATATCATCTTCGGGATCCCAAGAGACGTCTCTGTTTTCCGTTTTATGAAGAGTTGAAGTGCCTTATCCTTACTAACGTCCGAAAGTATTTCCTTGCATCCTTCCTCTTTCAAGTCATCCAATCCCACCGTCCTTCATACATCTCTGAACTCATTCGATTCATTCCCGCAGTACCCGCTCTAGGTCTTTAGATCTATAAACTATAGCCCTCCGAACCGCTGCTTTCGACAGATCGTTCATTATCCGATCCTCATCCCTGTGGAACTCCATCCCTCCCCACATCCGTCGCTCCAATACCCTACCTACCTTTAAATCCCGCCTATTTAAACATTTTTATCTATCCAGTCCCCATAAAATTGTAAATAGATATTACTGTAAATATTTATATAAATTATTACCTCATTCTTAATTATTTTTAATTTAAAATTAAAAATAATTAAGAATGAGGTAATTAATTTAAGGGCGGTCCCTCCACGCCCAGTGATTTCATTAAAGGCCTCTGGCCACAGATGCAAAGAACGCATACAGCATGCAGAGCCCTCTTACCTTAAAATGCCCTTGGGCAATAAAGGAAATTGAAAAATTTATGTATATATAACATTTACATATATATTGTATTTGTAATCAAGAAATTCCTGGGGAGTAGGAAAAAAAAAATATTTTTAATTACGTTTTATAATTTTTTTAAAATTTATTAATTGATTAAATTCAGAATGTAACTGATATTTTTTATTATTACCGTTTATTTATTTTGTGAATATTATTTATGTATCTCTGTGGCTCCTTAGCCAACATTTCTGTATTTTAATATTATTCTTCGTCGTAAACCAACGACTTCCTTTCCTACAGTTTCCTTTAACAATACTCCACTTATCCCTGTTGAGCAAATCCGATACCTAGGACTCCACCTTGACCAACGATTAACTTGGAATCCTCATACTAGACTGAAACGACAAGAAACCGCTCGACGTTTCCGATTACTTCAGCACTTACTAGACAAACGCTCTAAACTTCCCATTAATTACAAAAGACTCATATACTTGACTATGATATGACCTATTTGGACTTACGGAGTTGAGATATGGGGCTCCACTAAACCATCGAATTCCTCTCGTATCCAATCCTTACAATCCAAAATCCTTCGTAAAATCCTCAATGCTCCTTACTTTGTCACTAATAAAATTATCCATAAAGATCTTAATGTTCCTTATGTTTCAGAACTGGCCCAATCCAGATACCTATCCTTCCATAATAAACTTCAGAATCATCCCAACCCTCTCGTTTCTAACCATGCTTCCTCTTCAATTCCTGATAACCCTCCGAGGCGTCTGAAAAGAAGATGGCCCCGTGATCTCCTAATGTAGTCATATCATTAGAGTGCTACCATTGGGTGGTTACTCAGCAAGTGTATTCATGTCATTATATAAATTATGTCCAAATTTACTTGATGTATTTATGTAATACAGTTGTAAATGTCATAAAGAAATAAAAAAAAATATATATTATTCTAAAGGGGCTTCTCAGCCCCAGAATAAAAAAGTATTATTATTATTATATATTTAAAAATAAATTTATATATATGTTTATATATTAGTTTTTTTTTCTTATGAGTGAATTTGAAATTACATTAGCAAAGCAATTGAATATATTACATTTTTTTTTATTTGAAGGATTGAGGCTGTGAGATGAATTATGAATTTTCTAATGCATCAAATTTGCTTGAAAATTGACGTTAAATTCTTAACGTAAAAATTCAAAGGCGGATATAAATAAATTATAAAATCCTAAGTATAATCATCAATAATTATAAACTAAAATTTCAATAATAGGAACATAGACTATAGTAAATTACTTGCGTGCCTACTTCTAGCCCTTAGCTTAGACTATATATGTTATCCATTTGTTTAGATTGATTGTTATTGATTTCATTTTATTTTTTAAAGATGTTTTTCGTCAAATATTGAGGGGGAGGGGGCGATATTTTTGCCCTCTCTCTATTTTTATTAGAGGGGGGAGCGATTGCTCCCCTCGCCCCCCGAAATCTGTGCCTATGACGATTAATTTGATTGGAAAACGAAACTTTTAATTGGAGACCAACGGAGCTAACAAATTAAGGACAATAAAGTTCTCTTCATTTGAAGCATTCTCCCTATCGACTCAACTCCAGTTATATAATCGATCGACAGGTAACGGAAGCTTTTTTATCTACGTTATGTCGCCCTTGGTGGGGCTTCATTCTACCAGAGAGCTGCATAGTATTTTGCGACTCACTCTACGTTTAAACAAATAAAAAAACACAAAAATAGTAAATATTATTTTTTTATTTCAGCTGTATACTGATTTTTATGTTTTTAAAAATGATAGCAGTAACCCATTTTGGTATGTGGTATTTCAAATTTTCATGTTATAAGTTGTAGAATTACCGTTTTAGCTACGTATATATTTTTTTAAATGTTTAAGATTGTATAAGTTTGAAGGAAGCTAATATTATGGAATAAATATGGATTAATACAATGGAATTAAATGAAATTTAATTCATTATATTGCCAAAAAAAAAAAAAAACACATTTGCAAAGGGGTGATCTTCAAAGTATGTGCTTCTACTTTTTAAAAAATTATAATTGACATCCTTGTTTTAGTATACAATTAAAAAAAAACAATAATATTCAACTATTGAAGTTAATTTAATTCTTTTACAGGAAATTTCCCTCCCAACGATGAAGACTCCTACGAGTACGAATGGAGAGTAAGAAGGGAGCAGGCTGCAAGAGGTAAGTCATATCAAATTATTTTAATTTTTTTTTTAATATTATGTCATGTTTTATATAAATATCTGTTAAATGGCATTTTGATTTTACATTTCCTTCAAATACATATTTCAATTTTGTAAATACTTTGTATATTCAGTTTATACGTATCCGAAACAAAAGTTTATTTAATTGTTTTAAAAGTAGCTATAGGCCGAGACTACTTTAAAAAAATTCAATTAAATAATAATTAAAATGTATTAATTTTAATTAAAATATATCTCACAATTCAGTTTAATATTAATTAAAATATATCCATTTTAAGTAGTACATATTCCACAATTCAGTTTAATTTTAATTAAAATATTTTCATTTAATTAAAATATATCCATATATTTACATTTGATTTCGTATTAAAACTATGATATAGTGTTAAATAGATTTTAATAGGGACGAATTTTATAAACGACTCACAATTTTATATAAACCAGAAAATAATCTTGAAAATACATCGTTTTCAAGAGGAAGATAAAACTTGTGCTAAGTTTTCCAATTGTTCAAAGTTACTACTATCTTTACTCCTAAAGTTTTCACTACTAAGAGAGGAAACACAATTATAACAAATATCTTTTTTTAAATTTCAACCGAGATCAAGAATTATAGAAATTAAAAAATTCTGCTTTATCATATTATTTTTTTTATCTCGCTCTATGACATTTGCTTGATTATTTTATCTGTATTGCGGTCTTATGGAGCCATATAACTAATGTTTATCTGTGACATTGCCAAAGTAATATCATACATTTGTATTTTTTGCATTCTAGTACATTTATGAATAATAAGTGATGAAATCAATATTACCTCCGATTTCCTGACAATAATAAACTTGCAACTTGCGCCGTATTATCATCATTAACATTAACACGCCATATTATTAACATCCGTCTGAAATTTCGTAAATTATCTCATCATAAACTACAAATATTATAATTTTCGGAATTAGGACGGTTTAAATCTGGAGATCTGCAAACTTTGTTTATTTAATTAGGTAATATAAAATCTCATGAATACCCATTTGCTTTTCATTTGAATCGGAAGACAATATAATCACATAATAAAAAAAAAAAGTGGCTTTTAAAAATATTGGGCCGCTTGGCCTATATATCCTCATTATTTTGATATCTTGGGGGTGAAGATCACGCCACAGCTACCAATATTTTTGTAGATCACTTTTTTTTCGACTTTGTGATCACATTATTTTACGACTCAAGTGGAAAGCAAGGGAGTATTTTTGAGCTTTTAGTACCTTCTTAAATAGACAAAGTTTCTCGATCTTCGGATTAAAAAGGTCCCAATTCCGAAAAAATTCGCAAATAAAATATTTATTGGTTGCTATGAGATGAAGCTATTCACGAAGATACGGGGAATGTTAATGATTTATAAAAAAGGCTCTGTAAAACGGACTAGTAAAGTAACCTATAGCAATACTATTTAAAAGGCTGTCGCTACAATTATGGCTTGTATCTCCAAAAAGATATTTTTTGGGGCATTTGAATGATGGATCTGGAACTTCGAGGTGAAAAAGATCAATAGGGTCCTTGATGCTCTTGTTGAACTGCCAACTTACCACTATTTCAATTTTAATGCTACTAATATTTTTTATCACTTTTATTAAAGCTGTAGTTAAATACGGATATTAGTATTCAAAATTTCTTTATGAAGGACCTACTTAGAACTTTAAATTGAGGTTATCTTTGAAGGAAATAGTAGAGAACTTAATCTAACAAACATATAGCTGAGCATTACCAACCGCACATTCTTATCTGAATTCATTGTCGGGAATTAATCGTTTAAAGATCTTAAAAAAAAAAAAAAATTCATATCACTAGTTTTCCAGGAGCTTACCGAGCTTGTTTTGAAGAGATATTCATTTTGAGAAATAAATTAGGTACCTCCAACAATTCTAGTTGGTTCTTATTTGCTTTTACTTGGATTCAGTATTTTACTATGACAATTTAAATAAGCTATATTTGTATACATATTAGTTGTTATCTTACTAGAAATTCATCGTAGATTCGAAAAATGCTGACCAAATTCGGAAGATGTTTAGTCACATTAGAGAAATTAACACACTAAATTTGTGGGATTTTGTGAAGTAAATAAGTAAATTTATTACTATACAGGATGGACCGTAAGTAGTTGGAAATATTTAAATGATTGATAGTAGATACCAAGAAACTATGTGATTTTCTATCTAGTCACATAAAAGTACCCGTGTTTTCTGCAAAAATTACCACAATTAACAATTGCAAAGCTTTTATTTTTTTCGGGATATGAGGTGTATTATAAAGTAACATTTTTTTTTTATTAACGAAATTTACAACTGTATTAATAATAAATACAACAAGTAAATATGAACAAGTAATATGACATGTACAACATGAGGAGAAACTACCCATTGGTAGCACTCCAATACATTTTATTTTTAAAAAAATAAATAATGATTTTTCATGTAAGATGGTTATGAAATAGTGTTTTCCTCTCGAATTTCTGTCAGAGGAATCGATGCTTATTTATAAGTAACAAAGCTAATGTTTCTAGCAGTAATGTTTTTCATGAAAATATGTGAAGAAATCAGTAGGTTTCTGTATTTTGAACTTAAATTTTATTAAGAAAGGTTATGTTTTTTGTCACTGATAAATACATATCAATTCATATGGCGGAGATTTCAGAAAAAAAAAACCAGTTTCATAACCACTTTACATGGAAAATATTTAAAAAATAATTATTTATGATTTTTTATATTTGTAAATGGAAAGTGTTTAAAGACATTCGTGATTATTGCAATACATCATTTGTCACGAAAAAACAAGAAATAAAAGCTTTGTAACAGTAGGTTGTACTCATTTTTGCAAAAAATACGGGTACTTTAAGATGACTGGATAGGGAATACCATAATTTCTGTACCTAACTTGAGGTGATTCTTTAAATGTTCTCTGATAAACCTCAACTTAATTAATTTTGACGTAAAGCTTATTAAAGAAGGAAATGTTCGTAAAAGTGGGATAGGTGTAGTAAAGTTAAAAGGTAATAAACACAAATAATATATGACTTTTTTTTTTTACGAAACTTAACTGTCTTCTTTAAATAGTTTTAGTAATGACAAAATCTATATTCATTTAAAGTAATTTATTTCTAGTTTATTATGGAATAATGTTTAGTTACTTAATTTAAGAATTTATATGTTATCGCTGCCTATTAAAAAAAAAAAAAAAAAAAAAAAAAAACTCGCTTAATAAAACACAAATCTGAAATTTCTTTCTTTTCTGCTAGAAATTAGGCAATTGTTTATATGAACTTTTTTTGTAGATTCTGATGTCTACTATCAAGCTTTTAAATATTTCTCTTCACTTACGGGATACCCTGTTCCTCATAAAATGATAAATGAATAAGTAGATATTTAGGTTAAAAACGTAATTTTCTTGAAAAATTCTTTAAGATCATAAAAGGTTGTTTGTTTTTTGTTATTTATAAGTATAAAACATCCAGGTCATAAACGGCTACTATTTATTTCAAATATAAGTTTGTACAAAATTTAAACCATACTATTGAAGGAAAAAAAAAAACTATAGAAAATTATACACAGAAGTTATCAAATTACATAATGAAACGAAATATCAAGTACGTATGGTAGGCTTTTTAAAAATATTCTGTAGAAGTCCTATAACTTAGAAAGCAGTTTTAGGTCATAAAAGATCACACCTCGAAAGGGGATTCAGATACGAATGTGCGGTTGGTCGTGTTGAAATACATTGTCGGTAGACTATTTCCCCTCCAATGGCTGACATTTCCTTCTAGGATATCCATATGTTTCCTTTAATAGAAACGTTTCTTTCATAAAATCTCTCGTCACTTGTGTTACCTAAAATAGGTAACATATTGTGAGATGAGAAAACGAAGAATTAAAAATGTGCTTTGAATCTAGTAGATAACTGGTCATTTAGAATTTCAGAAATGTTTAAAAACATACGTTAGTATATTAACTTTTAAAATTTTGAAATTTAACTGCTAATCTGAAAATTTGCTAATTATCACTACCATGACAGGTGCGGATGAAGAATTGAAGACAAAAAAAAACTTACATATATCTTTATAATATTTTTATCGATATTCTAAAATTGTTTGTATTATCATTCAAATCACCAGAAACGGTTATGATAATACGGTAAGGTACGGTGTCATTACCAGAAATATTATTAACTATAATCTGACTTTATTCTTACTTTCCTACCTATACTAGGTAAGTAAAGTATTGCAATCATTTTTAAATAAATTAGTAAAATCCATTACTGTTCATAAAATAATTTCGTCCGTTGGAGCCACGCAGAAAAAAAATCTATTCATGTTATTTATAAATAGAAACTGTATTTTAATAATTAAATTAGTAAAATATATTATGGATCAGAACTCAATTTTAATGAAAGCCTCGCAATAATTTATCGTATTTATTTTTGTTTGTACTTTATACAAAAACAAATGCCACTTTAGTTTGAAGAAAATTTTATCCGGTTAACTGTTTATATACTTCTGTTACTTGATAAGATACTCCCATTGCTAAACCGTTGAAAGTATATAAAATAATCGTAATTCTATTTTTTTTTACTAAGATTAATGCCTTTTATAAATATTTTTTATGTTTAATTGAGATATTATTTTTATGTAGACCCGATTATAACCTCTTTTTATGAATTTAACTATCACGATAATAGTATGTTAATTTAACAATTGAATGGATCAACAATTATTTAAATTAATAATGGCTAAAGTGAAGAATCCATCCGAAAGAAAATGCTACATCGCAATTCCCTCCAAATGGAGAACCCCTTCTACTAATATTATTTATTCATGGCTTCAAATGAATATTTAACAACCCTAGGTTTGGTGGGGTCGAACCGTTTTTACTTTGATTAAAAAAAATGTTCCATGTTTGCCGAGAAATCTCTTTCATTAATGCTTACTCCAAT